CAGACTGAGCCCCTTGGGGGCAGGGTCTGTGGCTTTGGGAACCGAGAGCTCCCTGCACCCTCACAGCCTATGGCTGAGGGAGGAACACACCAGCCCGGCCAGGTTCCAGCTTCTTCACCTGCCCAGCCAGGTCCCTGCCATCTGTCAAACGGGGCGCCTGGTGCCCACGTACTAAGCCCTTGCTAGCAGCTAATTTTGGAGGCCACAACATCAAGGAGGTTTAATTCTTCCCAAGTCTCCTCTCTCCCAAACTCAATTCTGGTCAGTACCAAGAAGTCTTTCCTGAGCCGTGGGTCCTGGCCCCGGGAAGATGCCTGCTTCCCACTGCAGGAGGCAGGAAGTACGCAGCCCTGGGCCCAAAGCCGTGCTAGGCGGCACCACTCCCTGGGTTCTGACCCGCCCTGGAAACACATCGCCCACTGCACCCCCACCCCCAAAGGTTCACGGTCCCCCAAGCTCATGGCTTCACGGTTCGACTGGTGGGGGTAGGAATGTCTTCCACACAAAGGCTCAAGGGGGCCTGGCCTCCCTCGCCCCCCGAGGATCTGCCGTGCGGAGGCAGGTGAGTGCCTTCACCCGCAGAGTGCTCCTTCAGACTCCCAGCTGCCCTCCCCGGAGAAGCGCACAGGCCTTGTTTCCTGGGTTGTTTCTGCATTCCTTGGCTATGTTTTCACTGGCTCCTTTGCCTCCTCTCCCCAGTAGTGGCTGTGGAAGAAGACCTCAACCTCTAAGGCAGGCGGGCTTGGTCATCAGAACGAGGACCCACCGGGCTGGAAGGGACATATCGATCACTCATACTGTTGCCCTCCCCTGCGGGACGAGCTCGGAGCAGTGCCGAGAGCTTTGAATGAGGTTTTGGCCCAGGGAGCAGGAACTCCCCACCCACATCCCTGAGCACCCGCTGCAGCACCCAAGTCCCTGCCTGCTCAGAGCGCACAGTAACCGTGCTGGAACACAGACCTGGTTCCGGCCTCATGCAGCCCAAGCCCGCTGCCCGCTAGATGAAGCCCACACTCCGCAACAAGAGCCCACGGCATCTCCAGCCTCCCACTGGGCACCTGTCACCCACCCCATCCAAGACTCTGTCTCGGCTGGCGCGGCCTCCAGGCAGCCTTCCCTGACGGCTCCTCGTGGCAGGTAGGCTGCTCCCCTGTCCCGCCACAGGCGTGGCTGGTAACAGTCCCTCCGGCAGGCTGGCCGCCGCCACGGGCAGACCCCGAGCTGAATCACTTTGAGCCTAGAACCAAGCCTGTGCCTTTCCCACCCCGGGGGAGCAGACAACCATCACTGAGTTCCTTCTCCCTCTGGGATTGCACTTCCACAACTCTAAGGGAGAAGGCAGGGCTAGCCTGGGGATGGCAAGTACAGGATAGGCACTCGCACTCACACGGTGGCTATCACCACTCAGGATCTGCTGAGCGTGGACAGTCAGAATCATTCTCAACATGTGTCCTGGGCAGCCGCCACCAGGGGTGGCATCGGAACGGAAGCTCATTTGCTTCTTTCCAGAGAAGATGGCTACGTTTCTCTGTCCTCTCCTCTTGTTCTCTCTCCTGTCTCTGGACAAGCGGACATGCATCTGCCTTTTGAAGGAACACTGGCTCAGGATCTCACGATAGCCCTTGGCTGACCACTGGGGGCGCACTATTCACCTTTCCAAGTCTCACTTGCCCCATCCGTCAGGCCTCTGCAGAAACAGTGATGGAAATCAGTCAGCTGCATGTTTAAAAATGCTACAGAACTCAAAACAATGAGAGGAATTTAGAAACAAAACAAGAACAGAAGCACTGTTCTCGGCGACCTCTGCTCTTCTGTTTCTCCCCAGGTTCTGGACCTGGAAATTCTTATTGGACGGCGGCCCCTTAGCGCCACCTTAGGGCCCGGGAACTAGGGGACCCACCCAGATCAGCAGGCCCAGCCACGGCCAAGCTGGGTTTGCCAGATGCGCAGCCTAACTGAGTTAAGCTTCATGAAAAAAAGGGCCACTGCTTGATTATGTAAAATCCATCTGGATCCAAAGCAGAAAATCAATGTTGGAAGGGCCCTCAGAGACCATCTGGTCCAGCCTATTCCATCCACCGGTGAGAAAACGGAGGCTGTGCGCCGGGGCGGCGGGGGGGGACCGTGCCCAGGGTCACCGCAGCACACGTGTGGCCAGGCCCTCCACGCCCTTTCCCCTTCCATACTCCCAGACCACCACACTGTGGGGGCGGGATGTGCCCCCTCCTACAATGTGACAACACAAAATAAACTCAGTTCCAACATTTATAACATTCATCATGGCCTGAGAACATGTCCAGGGCTGGACATGCCAAGATCTGGGCATTAAAAAAAAAAACACAACACAAGGACCGCGAATCAGAATGCCCTTGTTAAATTCTACCGAGACTCCAGACCCGCAACCCCAAGCAGGGGGTGTGGTCAAGGCTGATTTCGAAACCCCCTCCCAGCTGGCCCTTAGCCTGCTACCGTGTACATCTATGCCACAGGCACCAGTCACCTGGGGAACCTGAACACCAAAGAAGAAAAAGCAAGTGACAGCCCAGGGGCAGCCCTGCAGTCTGGCCATTGGACAACGGCGGAGTTGCTCTCGGAGGGGCTGGTACGGGAGGGGACAGCTGCTCTCTCCCACCCTCCTGGAGGCCCTACCAGCTCTTCTAAATTTAGGACAAACTGGGGTGCAATCCGACCTGAAAACTGGGCCAGCCACTGTGGACCAGGGTCCGGGCAAAGCTGGGTCAGGCCCCCCAAGCTGGCTCCCCAGCGCCACGCCCTCCTGCACAGAGCTGTCCCCGGGGGCGGGGACCAAGCAGAGGAAGAAGTGCAATTGCAGGCAGCAGATAAAACCCTCGATACCATCTCTATTTCCCTGCTAATCTCAGAGCCGCCGTGTGAAAAATGAGCGGCAACCAACAGCCAATGCTTCTGCCGCGAGCCAGCCTGCTCTGCAAATGGGCAGCCACCGCCTCCTCCACGGAGGTGCCCTCTCCCCTCAGCAGCGACCCAGCTGAGCACGGCCTACCCCAGCTGTCCAGAAGTGCGCAGGACACAGACAGGCCAGGACACCCTGACTGGGACACAGAGCAGACAACTTTCAAGTCAAGAGGGCCCAAAGTTACCTCTGCTTGGTGGTGGCTGTAGTGGCTAAATAAGGCCAGGAGTCAGGCTGGCCTTTCTGACCACACACCCCCAATATCACAGGGAGAGCCCGAGAAGAATGTCTGGAATCAGGCCTTCCCCGGGGCAGTCACAGAAGCTGGGGACTGCTCGGACCTGCACCTTGGCCTGGGCTCGGACCAAAATACAAGTGGATGGACTATTTTAAAAGAGCTGACTGGCTACTGCCTGCCTCCGCCCAGCAGAGTGGCCTGTGGCGGACAGCCAGGTGCATATGGACATGCAGAGGCAGACCGTGGCACCTCAGCGGGCTCTGTCCACCACGCACGAAGCCCCACCTGCACGGGATTAAGGGCATCCATGGTGTCACGGGTGAGGACACGTGAGCCTGGGAAAGAACTCCCAACTGGATAGAACTGAGCAGGAAGGGAAGGCCCCAGTGGGCAGGGGGCAGAGCAGCCGTCTGCAGCAGCCAGCGAGAATGCTGCCCTGGAGGGGGTGACCTTCTAAGCCAGCCGCTCTCAGGATTCTCCTCTGTGCCATCCACCTGCCTCCCTCGGGTCCGTGTGTTTCCCGGGATCCTGCAGTCTCATTCTCAGCCCCCTTGTTCGCATCTGCGGAGCCTCACAAGCCTACTCCTGAGGCCGGATCCAGCTCTGCCCTTTGGACACGTGTGGTCCTGGCAGCATGCTGCGGAGGCTGACACAGGTCTGCGTGCGGCCCTCTGACACCCTGAGCCACCGCTGTCTTTGAGGACCACCTAACACTGATGTCCTCGGTGGCTGGCAGTGGCACGCCCTGACCCTCCTCTGCTGGGAGTTAGCCTCCACTGAAGCACCAAAAGCGGCAGTGGAAGCAGCTTCGAGAACCCCTGACCGTGCCTAGGAGCTGCCTGACCCCTTGTGCGGATCTCCTCACCCCCCAGGGCAGCTGAATTCTGACTCCCACCAGGCCGGAGTCCCCCCGGACTTGGGCTCGGCCTCGCGGGTGCCAGCTCTCGACTGCTGGGCTGCACAGACGCAATCAGCGCCTCCTTTTCTACACAACAGGTCTTCCGTAGACTCAGCTGGTGAGTGTCCACTTCCCAGAGGCGCAGGCTATCCGGCGGGGACGAGCCTCCTCTCCCAGCCCCCTCGCAGCCCTGCACGGGGACGCCTCACATGGCATTTCCCGGCCTCAATGGGAGGTGGGGGTGGAGGAGAAGGTGGCAGGCTGGGGGCAAGGGACAGGCAGCCACACCCAACCCTGACAAAACAGAGAGGCAGACCAACCTCACACACACCCCAGGAAATGCCCAACACACGGAGGCCCGATTCCCACGCCAGGTGGGATCCGCTCCTGCCTGTGGCAGGCAGAGTGTGGGCACAGATGCCTATAGGATGCTGCCGGTGAGCACACCCAGAAAAAAAAAATCGAGGGGTTAGCCGGGGCAGGGGGACCCCAAGAGCCACCAAGAAGAGGGGGTTTTTGCATTGCAGAGCCCGTGTGAGGTTTGTCGTGTGGACAGGCAAAATGAACAATGACAGCGACAGCAGCAACGAAACAGAAACAAGGAAGAGCTGACTTACTTAAGCCCAGAACACGCCTTTGGTGACAAGCAAGCTCCACGCTGGCCTGGCAGCAGCCCCACCACCTCACAGAGCAGGGGCCGGCCGTGGGAGCCTCAGGAGAGCAGCGCAGCGCAGGAGGCGGCCCGCTTCCCAACCCTCCGGCCCCTCGGCAGCACGGGAGGGCGGTGGGGACAGGGCGGGAAGGGTGGGGTCTGAGCCAGCAGAAAGCAACTTGGGTATTTGGACCATGGCAAACTGAGCTCCTCCTCCTTCCCCCACCTCGCCCCTGCCCAAATGCAAGGAAGGGCGCAAGACCCGGGGCCCAGCACATACCTGGAAGAAGCCGGGCGGGATGGGGCCCCCCGGCATCCCGTCGTTGGGGGGAATGTTGCCGAGCACGGGGCTCGGGGCAGCTGCTGCGCTCTGTGGAAACAGGAGGCAGAGGGTTAGTGGCCAAGCCCGTGACCAGAGACAGACCCAGACCCGGGGTCTGGCCGCATCCCCACAGCCCCTCCTGCCCACCAGTTCAGACAGGACATGCACAGGTCTGATAGTGACGCCTGCCTCAATCCCCAGGGGTGTCACTCCCTGGGCAAGTAACCAACTCTGGGCTCCCATCCCCTCACCTCTCAAGTAGGGGCGCCACGTCCACCAGTTGGGGAAGCAGCTCCGAGAATGGCTTGAGACAGGCACAGGAGGCACCTGCCGCAGTGCCGGGTGGCACTGAGCCACCAACACGCGGCAGCTGCACTACCAGCAGGATGCCCCTGCCTGACCCACCCCCCTACTCTAAGCTCTTTAAGATTTCTACTTATCTGTTAACTTATTTGAGAGGCAGAGAGATGCACAGAGAGAAAGACAGAGAGATCTTCTATGCACTGACTCACTCCCCAGCCTGAGATGAGCCGGCCGAAGCCCAGAACCCAATCCAATCCAGGTCTCCCCCATGGGCAGCAGGAACACAAGCACTTGAGCCAACATCACCTGCCACCTCCCAAGGTGCACATTAGCAGGAAAACGGGAACAGGAACACAGCAGGGACTCAGACACAGGCACAGGCACTCAGATATGGGATATAGGCGTCCCAAACAGTCTTAACTGCTGGGCCCCACATCAGCCGCTCCAAGCAGCTCTCTGAGGGCAGGTGCGGTGAAGGGTACCTGTCAGCGCTCTGCGAGTGGCTGAATGTCAGATGGAACAGAAGATCAAGCGCTATCCACAACTCAATGACTACATGGACCAACCAACTGGGAATGCCCTTGGAGTGGGTGAAGGAAGGAGGGCAGGGCACGTTCGTGGCCCCTACCCGCACCCAGGGCTCCAGGTGAGTCACGAGAAGGGGGGTGCACAATGGGAGGGCTGTTGTTCCTCTTCTTGGAACGCAGGATGCTAGTGTTTACTGGTGCCTCTGCAGCAGCAAATGCCTCTGGGGTGGGGGTATACAGACAGGTCTCTGCAGCCTGGCCCCCTGGTCCCCTTCCAAATACTCGGCAGCCCACCGGCTCACAGGTCGGTGCCTCTGTGCCTGGCCCCGTGCTCACACAGGAAGACTCAGGCCCGAGAGTGCTCCCTAGGACTGCCCCTTGCCACCCAGCATGACCGAGAACTGGGGTGGGGGTAGGGGGGTGCAGGGCCACCTTGCAGGGCTTAAGGGGTTCTCTGAGAGTCACAGCTTCCTGTCACCACCTTCAAAAAGCCACGTCTTCCCTTTCCTCGGCCCTAAAATAGAAGCCAGAATCCCCAACTTCCAACTCTGGTGGGAGGAAACAAGAACACGTGCGAATCCCATAACACATGGCCCAACACGCTGGCTTCATGCTCTGTCACCTGCACCAGCCGGTGGGCCGACCACGGGGGCCAGGCCCTCGGCCTTTCTGGACCTGTTTCCTGCAGAAGTAGGAGAGCTACTGCCCCATCTTCTCGTCTAGGCTGTGGGGGACTGAGTGACGGGACGGCTGCGGAGGGGCTGCGCTCGCTAAGCCGGGAGCTCTGGGACTATGGAAACGCAGAGGCCGAGACGCACTATGTGGCATGTGGTGAGTGCGTGGGATGCCAGGTACAGAGAATGGGCTAGCCACAGGTTACTTTCAAAATGATTCCGCCTACGGAAAAACCAGTCTGTGTGACGGAAGAGACTCCGCCAACCGTGATGTGTGCTACAAGTTCATGAGCTTCAAGTATCACCCAACATCAGCCTCCCTGCGCCCAGGTCAGACCACAGGCCCTCTCGGAAGGGGGGAGAGATCCCACAGCCCTTGCCCCTGCCCGCAGTGTTATCTGGTGGGATCCCCTGGGGAGATCTGCCAGGTAATCCATTAGCTGAACCACCGTGGGCTGCAGTGCTGCCTCCTGGCTCTCAGGGGTCCTGGGTAAACGCAACTCTAGGGATGAGCGGCTAACAACCACTGCACAACAGTAGGTGCAGGAAGCTTTAAAGTCAGTGTCCACCTTTATTTTCACCGACTCCTTTAACTCTTGAATCCTTTATAGAAGTATGATTATCATGAGCCACTGAACAACACCATGAGGTCAGGATTTGCTAACTTAGTAGTTAGCATCTCTTTGGTCTTTGGTGTCTTAGCTTTCGGATCACTGCCTTTGGAGATGGCTCCCCCCACCCCCCACTTCGTTTGTCAATCTACTTTCATGATAAAATATTCACATCCTTTGATATTTGGGTATTTGACCTTTTACATATTGAGGACATGGGATTAAGTACATCAGGGATTAAGAGTAAGTCCTGGGGCCGGCACTGTGGTGTAGTGGGTGTATGGGCACCAATTCAAGTCTTCACTGCTCCACTTCCGATTCAGCTCTCTGCTATGGCCTAGGAAAGCAGCAGCAGATGGCCCAAGTCCTTGGGCCCCTGCACCCGTGTGGGAGACCTGAAGAAGCTCCTGGCTCCTGGCTCTAGATCGGTATAGCTCTGGCTGTTGTGGCCATTTGAGGAGTGAACCAACAGATGGAAGACCTCTCTCTCTGCCTCTGCCTCTCTGTATCTCTGCCTTTCAAATAAATAAATCTTAAAAAAAAAAAAAAAAACAAAAAAAGAAAAGGAGTAAGTGCTGATTTAAGAGAGCCTTTAGCGAGCACACCAGTGCGCAGGTACCGGCTGCACCGCACAGGAGGCTCCTCCGCCTGAGGGGTGTGGTCTTCCCAGGAAGCCAGGGGTGAGTCAGTGGTTCTAGGAACAGAATCAGGAGAACCCGTGGCAGTTCTGTGAACGTCTGAAGGGAACGGGCAGGGCAACCACGGTTCTGGGGAAGGATGGTGAATTCTCTGAACTCCAGGCTGGAGGATGGAGTTCTGCCATTCTCCAATTTAGCACAACAAAGGCAGGCCAGGTTAGCAGTGACTACAGGGCAGGGGGCAGGAAGCTAAGCAGACAGCATTTACTCCCCAGCAGCAACACCCTAATAGCTGCATGGTGAATGTGCACCCCGAATGATGACAGCTTATCCTGCTCCCCGTGGATGACAGAGAGGACGTGGGCTCAGAACGGATCTTTACAAGGGGGATAAGAAACAACCGGTGTTTCACAGCCCAAATGGGGTAAGAACTCAGAAATAACCACTGCTAAAAAATAACATATACACTCTGAGCCCCTACACACACACACACACACACACACCCCAGTCACCACGACACTGGATCCCAGCCCCTACCCTCCTGTACCTTCACAGCACAGGCTGTTCTACCCATTTCTAAGACCCAGCACAATGTGAAGCATACAGCAGGTGCTCAATACATGACTACTATTTCTATTATTTCCAAGAACTGCTCAAGGCTGACCAGGAAGGGCCAGGCCAGGCCTTTCCACTCTGCCTCTCCCTGCCTTCTCTCCAGCTCCAAGGTAGAACTCCAGAAAGGTGCCCAGCAAATGTCTTGTGAGTCTCTTTAAAACACAAAATCCAAACCGACCCTCCTGACATTCATGAAGGCCCAGAGCACGCTGGGGGTGTGGCAGGTGCACAGGACAGGACGCCACACCAGCCTCCAGACCAAGAGAGGGAACAGCACTGGATTCAGACACCAGAGGCCTCATGTGGGGCGTGGGTCTTACAGGGAGGGGGCCCAGGAACAAGATGCTCCTCACTTGGGGACTCAGTTTCCCCAGGAGTCCAAAAACGGCATTAGAGGAGGTGACCACTGGGGCCCTTCTTCGAAGCTGCTCTGCCCAGCCCAGTCCCCATACACCCAAGGGCAAGGGGGCAGGAGGCAATCCTCTTTCCAGAGGACCCAGGATCTAACTCTTCTCTCCACTGCAGGACATTTCGGGGTCACGATCACAAGGCACCCAGAGACCAGTGTGTTAGCTGGCCCGCCGAGAGCAGCAGCCGACACCTGGGCTCCAGCCGCCCGGGGCCCCCCTTCCCCGTGTGTATGCACAGCCACATACGCACATGGACTGAATAAAAGCACGAGACAACTAGGGCAGCAGTTGGGTAACTTGGGCTTTAAAAAAAAAATAAAATAAATTGTTTTCTAAACAGAAACAGGCCTCACGCAGGATGACGTGGCCCACCCCAGAAAGCTGCCTCCTGCAGGCCCTGGAGGTACAGTCCACTGAGGCCCGTGGCCCTACAGAGTGCCGCCCCAAGGCCATCCCACCGCACCCCCAACCCCCTCCCACCATCCCCATCCCCGGCCTTCTCTCTGAAGAACAGGGCTTCTTGGGGATCCCTGGCTAAGAACATAGCCACCAGGCGCGGGGTTCCCTCCAGTGCCTCCGCCTCACTGGTGAGCCACAAGGGGACCCACACGTGCCACGGCGACCACAGGCATCCCGCGCGGGCCAAGCCCGTTTGGCTCTCGACTGGTTCGCCAGCAGCCCCATCCCAGCAGGAGGAGATCCTCCCCGGTGCTCCCAGGAAAGGAAGCAAGGTTCAAACCCGTAGTCCCCGAGTCCGGGCAACTGGGGAGCTCAGCCCTCTGCTCTGGACAGGAGAAGGTCGGTCTCTCTCTCTCTCTCTCAATTTACTTACTTGAAAGACAGAGGGGAGGATACAGAGAGGTCTTCCATCCATGGTTCACTCGCCAGATGACTGTAACGGCTCAGGCTGGGCCAGGCCAAAGCCAGGAGCCTGGAGCTTCCTCTGGGTCTCCCAGGTGGGTACAGGGGCCCAAGCACTTGGGTCATCACCCCTTGCCTTCCCAAGCGCGTTAAGCAGGGAGCCGGATCAGGAGTGCAGCAGCTGGGTCTTGACTTGGCACCCACACGAGATGCCGGCGTCACAGGTGGAGGTTTAACCTGCCTCTCCTGCCCCTAAGCAGAAGAGTGACCCATGACCTTGGGGAGTCCTACCCTGCCCTACCCCATGCCAAGCATATGAACGCACTGCTGACAAACCCGCCCCCTCCCACCAGAACACACAACACAGGCCTCTGCTCTCATCCAGAAAGAGGAGCTTCCCGGAGTAGGC